CATTTTATGTGCCAACTCTCTTTTTCTTTGTTTGCTATTGATAAGAGCATCAAAAGTAGTAAGAAGAATAATGGCTACTGGTATTTCCATCATCATTATTTGTCAATACAAGTACCTACAGATAACAACTTGGGGACATCCTTAAGCATAAATTTTGATGTATCTTCCTATTTTTCATGCACATAACTTCACTTCTAAGGATTTCAACACACGCAGCTAACCTGGGAGTCATTTCTTCAAAAGACAAATAACAGTAAGACAACAGAAGAGCATGTGGAAGTGTGTGGGATGTTTTATCTCATAAGAAAATATCTCCTCAGGTTTGAACCTATATAGTCATACCTAAAGAAAAAAGAAAAAATAATAATCTCCTGCCAGCTATATTCAGTAGCTATAAAAGCAGGTCGTTTAATTCAGCTGCCTTTACTCAGTAAGGCATTAAACTGGAGGAGTCAAAGAATAAAAAGAGACATTAATTCAGATGTTCATTTGTAATTTAACTGCCTGTGAAATGTTCCCGTTATTGAATGGAAAAGAGCTTGCTTAGTTCACAAGCCATCCTTTTACAGTCTTGCAGTGTTCACTTCAGAAGCCTCAATTAAAAAAAATATAGAAAATACAATTTTAAAGTGTAAATGGAAATCCCCAACGTACTTGATCTGACAGCTATGGTATTACAAAACAGAATTACTATTTTAAAGCCTTGGGCACTAGCAGGCCTCTGATGTCGGCTATATAAAACCACACTGACAGACAGTCATTACCAAGGTTAATCTCTGAGAATTAGGACAAGGCAGTCAGTTTTAATATATCAGAATCAGCTAGGAGCCCATCTGTATCTACTACAGTCCTTACTTTCTTAAATCCAGTTATATAACAAGATTTTTTATTGGAAGCTGTAGGTGGTTTTTCAATGAAGACATTATGAAGTAGAAATTGCCTCTTATTATTAATTAAATGTAAACCCTCAAGGCACATCTGCCCTAAAGACCTTGTGGAAATAAGCATCTCTTAACTGTTACCCACTAGCTCTGACACACCATGGGTGCAATTATTTTTCTCACATGTGGGACTACTTCTTTTCCTACTGCTATTTTAATGACTTCAGGACAAATGAGGAAAGGACTTTAAGTCTTTTGCTGTGGATGGGTGTGAGTCTGAATAGCAAGACACCCATGGAACTCACAGGAGACCTTTCTTAAGACTACTGAGAGAAACACTGAACATAATAATCTTGTGGGCAGAATTAAAAAAAAAAAAAAAAGAAGGACGAAAGAAGAAACATTTGCAAAGGACAGGAGGTTTTGTCAGGAGAAATAACTGGCCCGGCCTTCCGTTCCCTGAAACCTGAAGATGTTCAATGACGACACGAGGAAATGGCCTCAAGTTGTGCCAGGGGAGGTTTAGACTGGATCTTGGGAACAATTTCTTCCTGGGAAGGGTTGTCAGGCCCTGGGCCAGGCTGCCCAGGGCAGTGGTCAAGTCCACATCCCTAGAAGGATTTCAAAGCTGTGTAGATGTGGTGCTGAGGGCCATGGGTTAGTAGTGGCCTTTGCAGTGCTGGGTTAATGGTTAGGCTTGATGATCTTTGAGGTCTTTTCCAACCAAAACAATTCTATGATTCTATGATGTCCTTTGGTGAGGTAAGGAAGCAGCCCACTAATACACCCGTGACTATACAGTTAATATTTATCCATTACAGCAGGTTTGTGCAAGTCAAGCATGTGCAAATGGGGGCTGTGTAAATATGTACAACACGAATGAACACACACAACCAGTTACATGAAGAGCAGTATGGGTTCTTCTGCATGTGCAGGCACTACAGGGCATGGTGCTGGGAGATGCAGAGATTCCATATCTGCCTGTGGCTTACAAAATCCTCTGGGGCTTTCAGCATCATGCTCAGGGATAACATCCATCTCCATCTCCTTGCCAAGCCAGGACACAGCAGAGCAGATGGATTACTAATAGGTTGCAGATAAGGTTCCTACTAGGTAACCAGTTTGATCTATGCCATAAATGCACCTTTAATGATAAAAACGCATCTGTAAGATACTAAGGTGAAGCAAGTAAAGGACAGTAATAATTGAAATGATAGGACAGTTATATAAATGGAACAATGAAGGCTAATATTTAGGCAGTTTATACTTACTGGCATCATCCATAAATTCAAATTCACCCCCTAATTCAGCACTGGTTAAGTGGTACTGGTCAGGATCAGTCAGGGCACTCAGCAGAATCAGCAGAACCACTGAGTTTATAATCTACAGAGACAAAAAAGGGAAAAAGGTCAGGCTGAAAAAGTAATGCATGAAAAAAACCTCTGGGCAGGATATACCCACCACAGTCCATGACAACTATGGTGGAGGCTGTTTCGAACTGTACAACTGTAATGCTTAACTAACACTGCAAGTAGTTTCTCTGGGTTTGTGTAAACAGGACCTATTTCTTCTCCAAGTGGTGGCAGGAAAATGAAACAAAAAGTAGATTACCCCTTTTCATTCTGACTCTCTCACACCATCACACAAGTTACCCCTGCACTTTCAGGTTATAAAACATGTTAGCACATCCACTTCAGATTGTTCTACAGCAAAAACTAAAATCAATTAAAAATAATAATTTTGAGATTATTACAAATGAATGTTGTAGTCAAGAATTATTAGCAGAGCTGGAATTGGAGACAGGCCCTGTGTAATTGCTAGGTGATCAAAGAGGAGCTGATTTGCTATAAGAGGCTGAATTTTAAAAGAGGCTGTGAGTGATTAACTGATTCACGAGATGCTAAATCAGGAGGCCTTGAGGGGATGGGAGTAGGTGGATATGTGAGCCCAATATCTGATGTGCATGTTTCTGTGTCACATGGCACAGAGAGGCACTCACAAACAAAAACCTTATGATAGGCAGAAAGTGACTTAAATGCAAGAATATAGTATAGAGTGATTCAGTAGATACGGATTGTCTAGTATCAGCTATGAGAGGAATGCAGAGGTAGCTAAGATCTATGTTTTAAAACAAATCTGAACAAATTATTCATATCACTTGGAAGTGAAGAGGACTAATTGAAATAACACAGCCTGGCTAAAAAATTATTCTACCGAATTCAGAAGATGATTGATGAACAGAGAAATGGAGAAAAGAAAGCTGATAATAGAGTATGCTAGGAAAGATGGGTTTGTATTGCTTTGGTTCTTACTTCAAAGTCATCCTAGTCTACAAAAAGATGTAGGAAGAGAGGCTCTAACAGATGTAAAGAGATTAGAGAATTTTGGGTTAGATCAATCCTTTTCGATAGGCTAATTCCATCAGGTTTAGCTGATACCAGATCTGTCAGAAGAAAAAGATGAGAAATAACTGTAAAGTAACAGTTCCTTGGGGATGAGTCTGGGTATGACTGAATAAACTGAACGTGACTCAGTGCCATCCCATACAGTCATCTTTGCAGCAACATGGTGGTGGGCAGTTCCACAGAAACATGGGTATTAGACACACAAATCCTCCTCCTACTCAACCTCCACAGGGCCTTTGTTGAAAGGGTCCAGTTCAAAGTCCTTCTAAAATGTACCAAGAAAAGCCCTGGGGAGGATCTTGCAACAGAACAGAGGGTGATCAGATGTCTGGAAAGTATGAGTGACTAGTAAATAACTAGGGTTGCTTAGTGAGGAAAAGGTGGGGGGAGATACTCTCAGTCTTCTAAGTGCAGAAAGACGAGGAAAAGAAGGAGGCAACAGACTTCATCCAAATCCACTTGGAGTAACAGATTTAAATTACAGATAAGGAAATTCAGGTTAGGCAGCTTGCTGAACAATAAAAACAAGCAGACAAGCAGAAGACATTGTCTGGAGGGGGTTAGAGATCTTCATTACTGCATTTTGTCGTAGAACAGTTAAATAGCTTTATGTTGGGAATGCTGTAGCTACAGATGATCTTATCTTGGTTTTGAAGGCAGAGTAGATGACTGTTGAGATTCAAAGTTAGATTCTATAAATCCTACTAATTTTTAACATTGTTTCTAACTTCATATTGCAATTCAGCTCTTGATCTATACTCCTTTGTAGAAAGCTAGTAGACATATGCCAGCAATAAGTATGTTACTTAAGAAGAGTACTCAAAATAACCAAGCAATCAGAAACCACAGATATATATACTGTTGCTATTTTAAAGGCATCCAAATTTAATCTTTACTACAGATATAGTCAGGAAGATTTATCAAATACTGACCTAGGCACTCTACTTTCGTCATATAGTTATGTCCAGATTCAGATTACGTGTCTGTCAGCATTGCCTTTAAGTCTCTGTATAAGATGCAGCTTCTGTTTGCCTGATCTGAAGTCTGCTGAGGTCAGTAGGAATTTCTCTAATGCTCTTTACTGCTTCCCTTTTTTGTTCTATCAGGTTGTTCTCTTGAGGTCCTCATCATGATCTCTGAGCACCTTCCAACTGTGCTGTCAGCAGTGCAAGTGAAATACACCATGTGTTTATTTGCTCCCTCTCTTTTGCGGAGAAATGTGTGCACAGTTGGGTGCATTGTATTTGTTAGGGTTTTTCTTTTGTTTTGAAAGTGAGGCAACCATTAAATTTTGAAAAACGCTTTAATGCATAAATTTTATGTGCCTAAAAACTTACTGATGTAGCATCTTCCAAGGACACATCACCAAGGACAAGAACACAAACTGATTCCCTGTTGATAGATGCAGTTGGGATGAGAGTTGAAATGTCTGTTGTAGGAAAAGCTAAGGAGATTTTTCTGTTCTCTCAATAGGGCCAAGAATTCCTCTAAGATATTTTACCTTCTTTCAGCAACAAACAAAATTATGTCTAGTTAACAATGCTTAGAAAGCATTTTCATTATGCAAAATTTCAGTAAGCCCTATGCCTTCACCCTCCTTTTATGGGGGGAGAAACAGAAAGATGTTCATGAAGATGCAGCAGGGTTGTGTTCAGTGGTGCAAATAAAATGCAAGATTTTGCACTATTGAGTCAGAACTGTGACCACCAGCTCCTGATGCTGGTTATGACCACAGTGCTACCTAGGCATAGGAAAGGAGCCCCAGGAGCACTAAGAGGCATTACTGGCCCTGCCCAGCCCCACCTTGGGCGTCTCCACACCCCTGCCCATGGCCCAGGACCCCATTTCAGCTCAGCCTGAGGCCACCATCCCCTGCCCCAGTGCCACCACAGGAGTGCTGGTCTCCAGCCATGCTTTCTGCATGGACCTCTTGAATTTATGTTGTAGCCTGTCTCCAGTTGTGTCACTGGTCTCATCCCCTTGTGCTTCCTATTGGGCCCCCTGGATGGCCCCTGACCCTTGTTCTTCACCTGCCATGCTGGGTGAGGGCTGTTGACGGATCCCAGTTCTGCACCCAGGCTCAGCCCCTGCAGGATAGTAGCCAGAGTGCCCTAATAAGAAACTGGACTAAGATCCTATAGAAAGTCCTAGAAATGCCCAACTATCCTCTTATCCTGATGCAGATATAAAGTAATAACTTAAACAATCCCCAAATCCCACTTCTCTTGCAACCAAATAGAATACAGCTGCCTTCTCATCAATGTATAGGAGGAAAAAAACTCTTGCTTTATAGAGACCACAGAATGTATAAAGAAAAGGGGAAAACAGGAAATATTATAGAGGAGATAGCTAGTCCAACTATTGGAGCATTACTTGGGTTACACAGTTTCAGACTTGAATAGAAGATATTTGAGCCAGCAACAACTGTGGGAGAGAAGGTGCATGAGAGAGAGAGGCAGCACATGCTGTGACTAGGACTGGCACTGCCAGCCACGGTCACTGCTTCCATCTTGTACTGTGATAAAGAACCAGCACCTTATGTATGGTGTGATGTAGCTCTGCTAGAAGGAACATGCAGAGGTTAGGATGCAAGGAAGCAACCTCATGTCTTCCACAGACAGCATCCAGTGTTCAGAAACTATATAATGCACTACAGTTTCAGACCTCTGCCACCAATGAGTGAGTTGCCTTCTTTGCCACATCATTTGTTCCAGAGATCAGCACTGAACTGTGGTGACCTATGGAGGTAAAATACAGGGGAGAGAAGGTGGCAGGAATCACTGCATCAAACGATGATGAGAAAATGAGTACAACTATAATTTCAGACCCTTCCCAGAAGTGCAGCTGCATGGTAGCTATCCCAGCTTAGCTAAAATAAAATTAGGTTTCATAGCTCTGAAGAGCATGCCATTAACACAGATCTTTTGCCGGTGCCTAATTCAAGCAGACAGAGAAATACTCAAGCCAGCAATGTCTGTACATTACATAGATGTCTGTAAATACTGAAAGAATTGTCAGGAGTTACAATGGCTTAATTTTTCACTGTCTTCCTCCACCTTGAAGTCAAAAGTTGAAATAAAATTGCTCTAATAAAGGAGTTTAGATGAGGATACACTAAATTTACTTTAACTCAATACAACACATTAAAAATCCACTGATGTTTCTATTGAAGCCCAGTGTCCCCTCTATAAATATTCCACTACAGTTCTCCCAGGACTTCCTAATGTGGTGAAGAGAGATCTCAATATTTATAGGAAAAAAGGAAAACCTCCAAGCTTTAGTTATATTGAAGGTTCAATTCATAAATGCCTGTAGCTGTCTGAATGCTGTCTATGCAGTGAAAGATGTCCATACACTTTTAATTCTGGGTCTGTTTTCAGCTTCACTGAACTCCAGAGACATCCACTGAAGCGCACGCCTTAAATCTCTGCACTGGTGTAGAACTAACTCACTGCCTGTGCTCCCTGTCAAGGACCCTTTACAGTTCCAGAGATTTTAATGGCAGTGAACACCCCAGTAATATTTGGGTACAAAACCCCTATACTTTTAGATAAGGGAAGAAATATAGAAAACTGCAAAGACAAACTTTGTTTTTATGATATAGAAAATAAAAACAGACTTAATGAAAACACAGTCATTCTGGGCTAACCCCTCAAACTTTCTCTAATTCATATTAGTGAATTATAATACTGTGGGCAGTATATGTGCAGCTAGTTATTGAAAACATCACTGTAGTTTATTCTACAGTCACCTACCTGACATGGTATGAGCTACCAGATGAAAGAGGAGACAATTCTTTTTTAACAAAAATGCTTGTGACTGGGTAGCAAATAACAGCAGATTTCTCTGAGGACTTTGAACAGTGAGCCATCTCGGGGTGTTGCTGATCAAGGCTCCCAAATGTTCGCCAGGTTTTGCACTTGGCACACCCAATTCAAGCATATTTTAAGTAGCCCACAAAACTGGCAGAGTTCCCTCTACAGAGATATTATTGAAGCAAATCACCAAGGACATTGCTTTGAGCAGTAGGAAACCCTATGTGTTTTTAATAATAATGAGGAAAGTCTCAAGCAAAGCCTCCATAATCTCCATCTCCCTTCCAAAATATCAAAGTAAGTTTATTACTCTAAGTCTTGGTTCTGTATAGATACTGGAGAAAAGAAGCCCCAGCCTTAAACTGCTTTTGCTTCTTGAAACTAAACTAACAACAGAATAATATTTATAGTTCTTGAATATTTGAATTCAGGATAACTATTAGAAAAAGTAAGAATGTATGGAAAATGTATAGTTAAGCTAACATAACATCCTTAATTCTCCCCATCTACCTTTGTCTTCTCAGCTGGGATGTACTTGTTTTTTTTTCTTTTAGAGTAGAAGATATTACGAAAATCAAGAACATTTTTGTTCATCAAGAGGACACAAGAACCTTACAAAAGGAAAAAAAAAAAACCCTCAAGTTCATTGTTTAACTCGATAGTTCAGGATAGATTTGCACTATCTGGGATGCCTTTCCCAACCTCCCCTGTGAGCACTGATGATGAGCTAAGGTATAATGATCTGTTGCCTCGTATAGGCAGATATTTCTGTCTGTTCTCTCCCTGTTAGGCAGGGTATTTTTTTTTTCTTCTGAATTCTGGTTGAAGAGGAAATAAGGAGGAAATTTTAGCAATAAAGGTTTTACAGCTGCCTGACTGCTACAACAAGAGAAGCAATGATGCGTCCACCCTGTGTGCCCCAGTTTCTTTACAGATCTCAGGGCAATGATTCAGTCACCTTATTCCGCAGGGCATGCAGGACCCAGGAGCTATACCTGAGTGCAGCTCAGTCAGTGCCTTGAACTCCTAGAAGAAGAGGAGCCAGAGCCCTGGTTGTCAGAGTACCTCTTTTTTTTTTTTTTTTTTTTTTCCCCTTCTTTTTTCTTTGCTTTTTTTTTTTTCTTTCTTTCTTTTTGCTAAGCCTTCTGCCTTATGCTAATGAAAATGTTTCAGCTCTCCAGTGCTGGGGGACAAGCTGCAGATGTGTCAGTGATGCAGAAATTAATGAGTGGTCCAAGGAAGGAAACAGCCACATATCTTTTCACCCAATGAAGCATAAAGGTCTGAAGGGAAACAGAAAGATGGCCACGTAAAGTTGGTTTAAAAGGGCAAGCTTCACCCCTTTTACCAGTGAAATCCATTATCAGACATTTTTACTGAAGCCAAAAGGTTGGAGGAATACAGAAAAGGATCAGCTGTTTATTCAGGAGATGCAAGTGCTTAGCTGTATTAAAAAGCATCTTAAAAACAAAATATAAGCCTTCTGGCTTCAGGTTCTTGATGAATCTTAAAATAATAGGAGAATAAAAAAAAGAAGTTGTCCCTGCACAAGTTGTTCTTTCTTACTTCCCTGTATGGTTTCTCAAACCATGTATTTCTGGGAAATAGGGAAAGCATTAGTCAGATCAGAAGCAGCAATTAAGTTTTTATGTTCCTTAATCTGGAGAAGACAGGATAGAGTCTGCAATTCTTGTTGCTTATTTTTCCACATTATTCATGAGCAGCCAAATAATAATCCAGGCAGGCTCAAACTACCGTATTATGGACAGTATATAATAGAAAGCTGCATAAAATAGTTTTATCAGACTTTATATATAATCTCAACGTTGATTATTGTAATGACACTAAGCACTGAACTTTAAAGGCTATGCTGATTAAATTGATATAGGAAGTCCAGCATAATTTATCATCACTGTTCTATACAAGTGACTCAACTACTGCCTGCTGCCAGCCTTTTAAAAGTCCTAAAACCCAAATCACAAGAAGTCTGCTATTAATGAAATGTGGTAATGACTACATTCATTTAAAGAAAAAATTAGATGGACAGACTGTGCAGGATGCACACTAGAGGTTTCTGTCTTCCTAGAGATAAAGTTTAATTTGTTATATGGTTAACCTTAGTTTTTGCATGGTTTAAGGAAACAGGACATTTGTATGCAAATTTGTCAGTGGATTCTTTGTTACTTTACACTGTATTTAAATAAATATGTATTTAAATCTGTGTCTGAGCAAAGCCTCCAAATGCTTGCTGAGGTCTTCTGCCCAGCCCTGGGGAAATATAATTATATACCCTTGTTCAAGTCATAATGTTGCCAGGCTGACTCACAATTTCTACTAAAGCACATCTTGGTTCAGGATGCTGTGAAGAGCTAGCAAAGAATTGGTATGCATTAAACCTTACTAGAAAAAGAGTTGTTGAACCAGTCAGTTGGGATTTGTTGATTTCTGCATTTGTCCTTGACTTCCAAAACTGAATTTTTGAGCCTTGTAGGTAACTATGAAAGGTTGAGGGCAGACCAGGCAAAGTGTTGCTGTTCATGTGAGGTGTGGCAGCTCTGAGATCTCCTGACGGATGAGTCAGTTAATGCAGCTGTAACTGAGCAGTTGTGTACCCACAGCAGCCAAGGAAGCTGTCTGTGTGCAGACTGGCTTCTAGCCTCTTTGGTCATGTGTTACTGCACTGGTGAGAGAAACATGTTCTAACTTTTGGCAGTGTTCCACCTAAGCCCACTTAATTAAAACAAACAAAGAAAACAACAAACAACCACAAAAAATCCCACAAAACACACCAAAACTTTGATTAATTATTCTTATGTAGTTACTACAGGCAATATCTACAGAAGCTGTGCAAGGGAGCAGGGCTGTCAGCTGTAAACTGCATCCATGCATCACTCTGCAACCTCAGGCAGGGATTTGGTTATGCAAGGTGGAAGCAGAGACACCACAAAGGACAGTACAGTGCAGATAATTATGAAACAGTAAATAACATGATCACATGTATCAGATCTGTGTGGG